GTGCTCCGGCAGTCCGGGCCCAGGAGCTCTCCGGGGCGGCGGCCGCCGCTGCCGCGCGTGGCGCGCGCGCACTCGTTCCCGTCGGCGGCGAGGCCGAGGCGGCCCGCTCCAGCGTGCGGCAGTGCGGGGCAGCCGAGCGGCTGAGTGGCCGGCGTGCGGGAGAGGGAGGAGGACGAGGGCGGCAGCACAGAGGGAGGGGGGAGGGGAGAGCACGCAGACGCGGAAGAGGAGGCGCGCGCGCGCACGCGGGGGGGTGGGCCGGACGAACTGGGGGGCGGGCTCGAAGACGGAACAGAATGCATAAGCATATACGCTGCTGGAGTTTCGCGCGGAGTGTCAAAGGTTCGAGGTTTGGGCCGTCTCGTGTGGCTCCAGCTACGGTCAGGGGCTTTGGTTTCCGCGTGTCGCTTCGCTGGCTCTGGCCCACCACGCCTCGGCGCGACACGCTGTATCCACGCCCAGCGGTCCCCAGGTCGCACGAAGAGGCAGGGGGTTAGGGACCCAGGGACCGAGATTTCTCATGTTACACTCGTTGCCCCTTTGGGCCTGGTTGCGGACGGAAGCTTCTGGTCAGCGTGTCGCTCCGCCGGCTTTGGCCCACCACGCCTCGGCGCGACGCGCTGTCCACGTCCCCACTCGCAAGCGTCCATGTCCCAAGCCGTTCGCAGCCGCCCGCCCCGCAGAGCAGAGCGACATGCCATCTGCTCGCAGGGCACAGCGTGTCGCTGGGGCCGCCGCCGCTGCGACACGCCACGCAAGAGTTCCCGACCGCAGCGGCCCAGGGACCAGGGCTTTGCTGTTGCACTTCCTGGGCCTGCATAGGTCGACGGAGAGACAGCGGCACGAACGTAGACTTTCGGGCGCGGATTTCTCGGATCGGTGCTGGACCTCCCCACCTGGCTCGCGGAGCGCGCCAGGAGCGGCGCCCGAGGCGCCGCTGGGGGGGCCAACCGCCGATCCGAGAAACCCGCGCGGAGTTCCAACCGTTTGTGTCTGTGCCGCTTTCCGTTCCTCCTGTCGGGTCTTCTCGTCACCACGGCTGGATCCCTCCTTCCAGTTCGGGGCAGAAGGCACCACCTCCGTCTCGCACTGTCGTCATGCTGGATCCCCCTTTGAACTGCTGGGCAGAACGCAAGCCGTCGCGCGCGCGCGCGAGCAGCGGATGGGGTCGGGCGAAGGGGGAGCGCACCTTTTTGTCATGGGGGGCACTTCCCACAGCACACGGAGTTGATTCGTTCTAGTCTGAGGCAACCGCGCTGGCTGAATGCTCGACGCTTGTGAGAGGAGCGTGTTTCCTTATTGCTTCGAGCATAATGGGCATTATAGCCCCCGGCCCCCCCTGCCACCCCCTATAACGCAACGCCCCTCCCCCCCCAGTGCGCTCCGGGCACTGCCGCCGTGTGCATCGGGATGCGCATCGGCGTCCGCATAGGAATCCGCAGAGGAGGAGGAGGAGGAGGATGAGGAGGAGGAGGAGGGGGGGAGGGAAAAGAGAAGCACGTCGCATTCTGTTGTCAGCACTTTCCTAGCGTGACGTTAAGCTGTCCGCAGCATATCCTCACCTACATGCTCGTTCTACCTGTTCTGCGCACGCAGGCACTGTGGTGTACACCAGCGCTGCATGCACGCGGATGCCCTGGTGTGGACAGGCGCTGTGGTGTGCACAGGCGCTGCGGTGCACGCAAGCATCGTGGTGTACACAGCTGCTGTGTTGCACATGGTTGCTGCGGTGTCACACATTCGCTGTGGTGTACACCGGCGCTGTAGTGCACGCAAGCACTGTGGTGTACACAGGCGCTGCGTCGCACACGGCTGTTGCGGTGTACGCAGGCGTTCTGGCGTACACGCGCGTTGTGGTGCACGTGAGCATTGTGGTGTACACAGGCGCTGTGGGGCAGGTCGCCACCTACATGCTGCTCACGTCGTCGTCGTCGTCGTCGTTCGTCGCTCGTCGCTCATCGTCGTCGTGCGCGCGGGCGCGGCTGTGGTGCTGGAGCCATACGGCGGGATTATCGCCGACCAGAAAAGAAATGCGCTCGAGACCTTGTGGGTATGTAGGTGTGCAGTTGCCGGCCAGTCTGACAGGGCGAAGACTTTTTCGTCTGCATTCAACCTCGATGGGGCCCTTGCTGGGCCCCGAGACCAACTGGAAACGAATGGCAATGTGAAGCCGACCCTGAGGAAAGGGTCAGGACTTCCCTGGGCGCCCCGTGTTGAAACAAAAGAGGGGGTTGCAGTCGGGATTTTTTTTGATGATGCGTCGCTCGGCCAGTTCTGGCCCACGGCGCCTTGGCGCGACACGCTGCCCAGTTGTCGGTCCCGAGGCGTCCACGTGCTGAGCTCTTCCGAGCGCGCTATGTGAAAGTTGGCAGCCGCAGGGACCCAGGGACGTTGTCGGCGTCGCCGCCGCCATCGCCGGTCGTCACCAACGGGGCGCCTTCGGCCCCGCGGGCGCCCGCCCCCGCCCGCCACGCGGCGCCGAGGAGCCAGGCGGGCGGCGCGGCGGACAACCAGCAGGGTGCGCCGCTGGAGCTGGACAGCCCTCGCCGCGCCCGAGAGAACTGCAGCGTCTTTGTTGGAAGCCGAAAGCTGGAGCCGTCTGGGGGTGTGAGGTGGCTCCAGCCAGCAGGAAGGGCGGGCGTGTTCGAGGCCCTGGGTTCAGGAAAGCTTTTTTGCTCTTCTTTCGGCCTCCGGGGGCCGTTTTCGGGCTCCGGGGAACCCTGAAGAACTGCTCCAGGATGAAAAATGCACCAGATGGACCCCGGGCGGGGCCCGGGGACCAATTGTGATGAGATTTGGCCCCATCCCTCCCTCCTAACAGTTTTTCTGGGGGGTCCCAACCAGGTCAGACCTCCCCGCCGCCTCCAAGCGGAATTTGACTTCAAGGAGCGTGTGCCGCCGCGCCGTTTGTGCCGACGTGCGGCCTTACGCTCTGGGGAGGGCGCCGCGGCCACCAGGGCAAACGCCGCCTCGGCCGCGGTGGGCTCTCCGAGGGTTTGCCGCGGTGCCAGCGTCGTCTCCTTGGGGCGCGGGGCGCAGGGCTTGCCGTGGATTTGCCGTGGCGTTGGCGTCGTCCACTTGGGCGCGTCGAGGACAAGCGGCGCGGCGACACATGTTACTTGTCGCGGGCCTGGCGCTCGCACAGAACGGTGAGCGGTCGGGCAAGCACGGGGCTACCGTGCAGCAGATGAATGCATTGCACGAGTCGGATTCGGGCGAATGGGTCCTCTGCAAAGGGGACCTCGAGCATGTGCGCAATAGTACGTGCACTCGTTCGTGCGGAATACGCACGTCGTACAATGTCAGCACACGTGGCCGCCACGCGCCATGCGCCACAGGATGAACTGTTGCATGTTTTGTCTGCGCCCCCGCTACAAAAGACCTCCTCTGCCCGGAACCAGACGAGGTGAGCATACGGGGCCGTCGCTGGGCCCCATGGCCGTCAGAAAACGGCTCGTCGGGGTGAAAAATTGGCCCCGGGGGGGAAGCAAAGGACATGGACTTCCCCAGACCCCGTGGTAAAAGAGTTAGGACATCGGATGTCTGGGGTCGATCTGGAGACCGAGAGCTTCGAAAACATCTAGGCGTCCAGCCTGTCGCCAAGCTTGGCCTCAGGGGACCAGTTTCAGACCCCCAGGACGTCCAAAAGCGATGATTAAAGAAAAGCTGGCTCTCCTGAATGGGTCCACATCCCTGGGAGGGCACGTCATGAAGCAAATGCGACGCCAGAGGAGGGGGGAAGGGACGAGCCAGACATCTGGCGCTTCAAACATATTGGGGCGTCCGGTATGTCGTCATTTGGGCCCCTGGGTCTATGATGTTCCAACCTACTTTTGAGCACCAAAAAAGTACCGAAACTCGAGGGTTTTCACGTGTCGGGCCCTGTGAGACGCTCGTCCGACACTGTTTCGACACTCTTTCGACACTTGTCCGGGTGCTCGAAATGATGTTTGGGATGCGGTCCTTAAGTACGATGAGAGCAACATAACCCTGGATGCCAGTTCTGGGATTCATGACCGTTTCGAGACGAGCAGGGTTAAGTCGGGCCTGTCCATCTACAGGAGGAGTATTCAAACACAGGACAAACAAATTGTCAGGGGGCCCTTTTTTGGAAGATGGTTGGTCATCTTTGAGTATTGGTTGGACATTTGGTTTTTTTCGCCCAGAGTCCCCCTGTAGGGGGACACGCCCGACCTAAGAGTAACCCCAGGAAGCATTTAAGAACCCCCTCCCCCCTCTCCGGCAAATCGATAACCCTTCCGCACCATCATCCAGATTCGCATCATCATCATCATCCTCATCATCCTCATCATCATCATCATCATCATCATCATCATCACCACCATCATCATCATCATCATCATCATCATCATCATCATCATCATCAGCAGCAGCAGCAGCAGCATCAGCATCAGCATCAGCATCATCGTGTCCAGGTGCTACAGCTATCGTTCGGTTATTTCGGCCCTTCGGAATGTCGAATAAAAAATGCGGTGCTACGATATCGCCGGGGGGGGTTCTTAAATGCTTCCTGGGGTTGGGGAAAGCAGGCCTCTTTGAGTATTTGTTGGGCATTTGATCCTCTTTGATTATTTGTTGATCCTCTTTGAGTATTTGATCCTCTTTGAGTATTTGTTGGACATTTGTTTTTTTTCGCCCAGAGACCCCCTGTAGGGGGACACGCCCGACCTAAGCGTAGGGAAAGCAGGCCAGCCCCGTCGGAGCGGCGGGTGTCGGAGGGCGGCGGTGATCGGGAGAGTGGCGGCGGCAGGGGGCAGGGGAGCGGGACAGGGCGGAGAGGGCCGAGAGGGGGGGGGGGGAGTGGCGAGGAGGAGGCTCGCGATGAAAGAGGAGGAGGGGAGGGGGAGGAGTAGGAGGAGGAGGAGGAGGAGGGAGGAGGAGGAGAAGGTGAGGGGGGAATGGAGGGAGAGTTATGGAGAAGAGGTAAAGGGGGAGGAAGGGGGTGAGGAGGCGGGGAGGGGGAGGGAGGAGAAGGAGGGGGAGCCTTGAGGATTAGGTTGGAGGAGGAGGAGAAGGAGGAGGGGAAGAACGAGGAGGAGGAGGAGGAGGACGGAGGCTACGGCGAGGGAGGGGGAACAGGAGCAGAAGGAGGGGGAGAACCAGAGTAAACCCAGAGTGCTTTCACGATGCTGCAATCCACGATACAACATCCCGCCCCAAGTCCCCTTCGTGCCTTTCTGCGCATCTCATCTTCCACTCCCCAGCTGGAAGCGATCCCCCCCCCCCCCTGCCCTCTGAAAGACAAGCGCCACGCGAGCTTGACGTGCAGACGAGACCCTGCTACCCACCTTTCATCTTTCTGGCGATGGGACATGACAATCGCTACGAACCGAAAGGCCAGGCAAGGGTCCAGCGAAAGCCTCATGTGAAACGAGTCCGCCCCCCACTCGTCCCATCGTTGCCCAGTCCGCGAGGGCTCGGGCCGCTGCCCCGTCCGCAGGTGTCAAGCGAGAGCCCTCCCTGTGTTTGAAAAGGAGCCGTCCTCCGGCCGTGTATCTGTAGCTGTTGCACGAACGCGGATGTCGGGTCATGCGTCGAGGAAGTCTGCAGCACGAGACCCAGCTTGGAGCAGGACCGCCCTTCGCCCGTGTAGATCTTCGATCACAGAGTCAAGACGAGCGTGCGCGGCGCCATGAGGAGAGCCACCGTCTGAAAAGGAGCCGCCCTTCACGTGTGCAGATGTCGGGCATGCTCAAGACGAGTGTGCGCTGCGCCCAGGCGATGGCCTCGTCTTGAAAAAGCAGCCGCCCTCCGCCCGTGCCACTGCTGGACTTGCTCAAGGCGGGTGTGCTCCTCCTCCTCCTCCTCCTCCTCCTCCTCCTCCTCCTCCTCCTCCTCCTCCTCCTCCTCCTCCTCCTCGCCCGTCGCAAGAGAACGTGAGCAGATGGCGGTGTAGGGTCGTCCACTTCGCTGAGCTTTGGGGAGTCTGCCTGCCAGCCCGCCCCGAGCGGCACCTCTGGCGTCCTCTGTCTACCTGCCGGCCCCTCGTGCAGGAGCCACTCGGCCAAGGCCGAGTGTTTGCCGTCGGCGACGCGGCGGCAGTGGAGGCCGGGGGGGGGGGGGGGGGGGCGGGCCGGGTCGCCTGGGAGTTGGTGGAGTCTAGCTGGTGGGATGCCGGCGGCGCACTCCAAGGGGGTAGCGCGAGAGGCAGGCCTTCCAAGAAAGCGAGGGGGACTCTTAGAAGGAAGGGGCCCACTCAGAGGGGCCAGGCGGTCGATAACATGGCCTCTGAGAAGTCCCTGCCTTTTCAGGAGCTCCCCCGCCTTCTTGGTGGAAAGCCGCCCCTCTTGCTCAGGAGGAGAAAAAAACACACAGACACAATTAATCGTCGATCCTCCGGAAAATATGGTAAAATATGGGAAGTGGGGGGAAAGACAAAAACCCAGAAAATATGGGAAAATATGGGGAATCATTTTATTTGTGTGTATTTATTTGTGTGTCCTGGGGCCCCTTCACTTGCGCTGCCCCCTCCTGCGCGCCGCCCGCAGCAGCAGACAGAACAGGACACGTCCTCCACGCGGGCGGCGGAGACATGTTGGCCAGTTGCCCTTCTCTGAGTGGGCGTGCGAGGTGTTCGGCTTCCTCAGGCACCCTCTTTTTGAAATGGAGGTGGCCCAAGCGCCCAAGAGTCTCGTTGGGTGCGGCGCCTTGCGGAGCAGACGGGCGCGATGTCTGAGCGACAAAAAAAACCCTCGTCTTTGGGACGCTCGAGACGTCGTTTCTGTGGAGACGTGCCGACTTCGGTCAGATCCGGGGGGGGGCCGGAAGGGGCCCGAAGCCTTTGAGCCCTGAGCTTCCCGCTGTCGCGTCTCCGCCCGCCACCGGCGTCGAGAGGTCACTCCCGCGCACACGCATGTCCAGGCATGGCAGTATGAAGCGCGTCACTTGCTCGCCCCGCTGCATCAAGGGGACTACCTGGGCCTACGGGGCCTACCTCTTGCAGAAGTCAAGAACCTCGCCATGCCCTCCAGAACCCCTCAGATCCCACTGGACCCCCCGAAAACGCAAACAACTACCGAGCACTGGGATGCTGCATCGTCGTCGACGGCGGAGAGAGTTGCATTAGCAGGAAGCGGGATACACATGACGCGGAAGCTGGAGGGACCTCGTATGGCCTTACACGATGATCATCCACGCGTGTACCCAGCAGGTGGCCTCCGAATGTGTGTTTGTGTGTGAGAGTGTGTGTGTGTTCTGCGTTATGTGTTATGTGATGTGTGCTATGTGCTATGTGTTGTGTGTTATGTGTTATGTGTTATGTGGTGTGTTGGGTGTTGTGTGTTGTGTGTGCTGTGTGCTGTGTGCTGTGTGTTGTGTGTTGTGTGCTGTGTGTTTGCTCCAGCTTCCGCGTACCTCCTCCGTTCCCTCTTATCTCCCCCATCCGTTCTCATCTCGCTCCCTCCCTGCCGCTCCCCTGCCCAACCCCCTAGCTATCCCCCCACCCTCCCCTCCCTCCCCCCAACTGTTTCCCGCTCCTGGCACCGTGCGAATACGGGGGTTTGCCTCGGCACGAGGCGCAGCACGTACCCATCGGTCGCTGAAGGTAGGTATGTTTGGAATCCCAGATTCCAATATACTTTAAGCGCCTTCCTACTTCAACGATCTTTTGGCTTCACCTCGTTGCTCCTCCCAAGGGGGCGGGCGGACACCCAACCTACTTTCACGGCCTTCCTACTTCATGGTTCTACCTACGTCTTCCAGCCGATGGGTACCCTCACATGCGGCCGGCCTGCGCCACCCGCGCTCGTGTTGCAGCATCGCTTTTGCGCACCAGCCTGCGCAGTTGACAGGAAAGGATCACGCAATCCACCGATCCAGCGGCGGGCTGAGCCTACTCAGTGTACTCATACCTTTCGGCATGCAGCCCCACTCGTGGAGTAAAAAGGTCCTCTCGCCACTATGTTGTGAAGGCCCTACGGCCGTTGCCGCCGATCCAGAAGGACGACGACAACGACGACGACCACGACGACAACGACAACAGCGGGCTGATGACCCTGCCACAAGCTCTCGACATGGGGCGGGCTGTGGAGGGAGGAGGAGGAGGAGGAGGAGGAGGAGGAGGAGGAGGAGGAGGACAGATGTGCCAGGGGGTTCCAGCCGTTGCCGCCGATCCAGAAGGACGACGACAACGACGACGACCACGACGACAACGACAACAGCGGGCTGATGACCCTGCCACAAGCTCTCGACATGGGGCGGGCTGTGGAGGGAGGAGGAGGAGGAGGAGGAGGAGGAGGAGGAGGAGGAGGAGGACAGATGTGCCAGGGGGTTCCAGACCTTGGCCAGGGCCAAGGCCACTGCCTGCGCCTCCTTGTCCCCTGCCCTCCTCGCCATCCTTTCGCCCTCTCCCCCCCCTACCCGCCCCCACCGCCTCTTGGTCGCCAGGCAGTTGGCCACGGGAGTCCCGCACGTGTGGTGCAGCCGTTGTGGGCACTACACGGCGG